GGGGACTGAGAAAACACCAGCTTTGGCAATAGCAAATCAAATGAGCAGCGTGTGGGGGCTGGCCCTCCACGCACCTGAGCCAGTGCTGGGGTCCTCCCTCCGGGGCTCAGAGAGTAGCACAGGTACACTTGAGTCCCACGGCAGCCTGGTCCTGATTCAGCTCAGCCAGGAGCCCCCAAGGCACCGCTAAGCCACGGGAGCACCTGTTTCCAGCAGGGAACAAGCCGTGGTGCCTGAGCTTCAATGTGCTCCCCACGACAGTGACCTGTGCAGGCTGCTGTCTGTCATCGCTGCTGATACACACCTCGCCACCACCACTTGGGGGACAGAAGCAGCGCTGCGAGCTCGGTGCCCACGTTTCTGCCCTGGCGGGCGGGAGGGAAAGCCGGTCTGCACAGGCCTTTCAGGCAGCTAGTGCCAGCCTTTTTTGCCAACTAAACCAAAACCATGGTCAGCATGGCGCAGAAAACACCTCGCCCAGCAAAACAAATTCAGTGTTGGCATCCAAGTGATTTCAAATTACAACTCTCCCAATGCAATTAAGCACTTCGGAGATTTTTAAAAAGGGGTGACCGCCAGCCAAATCAGGTCAAGCTTTCTGATTGTCCTGCTTGTCCTGCCCGAGTGAGCAAGCGCCAGGCACCTCCTCTGTGCTCGGCACTGGCTTGCCCCCTCGTCTCCTCTTCTCCCCACGACAGCTGGGTCAGGGCTGAAAGCAGGCAGGGCTGGCAGCCGGGCCTCCCGCGAGAGGTCATCAGTGCAAAGCACTCAGGCTCTCCAGTGCCCCAAACCCTTGGCCTGAGGCTACGTGGCTGATGACATGAGAGGGCCTGCCTAGAAAGGTGATGAGGATCCCATCTGCAGGGGAAGGCAAACCAGCTCAGCACTGGCACTGGCGGGGCTGCCCGCGGCTGGGAGAGAGGCTGTCAGGTGGCTGGGCTGTCCCTGGAGGATGGGGGGGACCACCCGCTTGGCACAGGCCACTTGCAGTGAGCCTCAACTGGCATCATCCACTCCTGGACCTGGAAGATGGACAGGACACTGGGACACTGAGACATCAGCTGAGGCAGGACACATCGGTCCGTGAGCCCTGCCCCCACCGGGCAGCACCAGGCTGCAGCAAGACCTACTTTGTGACTTTCTGGGACTAGCAGCAGCGCCCCCATCCTTAGTCCTCTTTAGGATTCACACCGCTCTGCAAGGGCCCAGCAAGTGCTCTGAGCCGAGGAAAGGAATACACGTCTCCGAGAAGGAGAAAGACCCCCATGCTGGACGCAGGCCCCAGCACCATCTCGGGAAACTCAGGGAACTCAGGTTCCAGCCCTGCAACAACAGCTCAGAGGCAGTGGCACTGAGGTGCTAAGATCCTGTGTCCCCGAAAGTCAGGAGTTGCTGACAGGGAGGCATCAGTGTTGTTAAAGGGGGTGAAAACCAAGCTTATTCCAGGTACCCGATGGAGACACAGCAGAAACAGGAAGATCTGGGAAAGGCAAAGAGGCTGCCTCCCTGGGTCTGAGTTGGCTGTGTTTTCTCAATGTGGGCGCCTGTGGCCAGCTCAAAGGTGGCAGCATGTGAGAGTGGGACCCCTGAGCCACATGAAACGGTGTTGGTCCAGCAACCGGGGTAGCCACGAAGGCCGAGGAAGTCACGAAAGCTCAACACCAAAAGAAGGAGGGGACATGGTTGTGCTGACTCAGTCGAAAGTGGGAGAGCAAGGGGTGGCCACGGCACAACGCCAGGCACCCCCCATTGCTGTACTGTGACCTCGCCACCCCCCAGAGGAGGGTCTTGTAGAAAGTCAGGCCAGTGACCCAGATCGGCACCCCCAGAGTAGTGGGGCCAGCTATGGCAGGTGGTGGAGGTTCCCAGAACTGACAGGGAACCCTCAACCCTATCTGACAGGACAGGGGTCTGTGGGGGGACCAGGGCTGGCCAAAGATGGCCACGGGAACACAGGACATGTGGGCAAGGAGGAGGGCGGTGGGATTCTGGTGTTTCACTTCCTTCCTCGTTACCGTAATGTGTTCTGCTGCCAAGAATAAAGTTCATTCAAGAGAAGAATGACAGGGAAGTATTTTAAAATGGCTTCCCCCACAAAAAAACAGCACAGGTTCTAGCTTTGCACATCTGGAGAATTCAGAAGGTGAAACACCTCACTGCCCTTCGACATAAGATAAATAAATACTACCTTCTCTACGGAGCTCTTTCAACACTGATTTATCAAAGGAAATCTGACGTCCTCTAAGCCAGGCTTACTAGGTCCACATGAAGGCATTTTCCCCAACTGGCAGGGAACCCTGAAAAACACAAGTGAGCTCATCGCCTCACAGTTCTCCAAGGAGGCCCCCCAGCCTGCAGAGGGCAGGGAGGGAGACAGGGCCCAGGCACCTAGGCAGACGGCAGGTGCTGTGGGCACAGGGGAAGAGAGGGATGGAGGCCAAGAGCAACACCGAGAAGGGCTCCTGGCTGCAGGCAACATCCCCCTAGACCTTCCCTTCGCTGCGTAAAGCGTGACTCCCAGGAACCCTCCCCATGCCCGGCATGCTGGGGGTCAAGGTACAGGATGGCATCTCCACATAGTGGACTAAGAACTCCTCCCAGGCACAAAGGCAATTCACCTAGAGAAGGAGCGCCCACCTGTGGCCCTTCCCTGGCAGGGTGACCCCTCCACTCAGTGAGATATGACCCCACATCCCACCCAGAAGCACACTCCCTCGCAGAGTCCGACACCCCTCCCACAGCCCTGATCTCCCTGTGGCCCTACACCGCACCCTCTTCCGCTCCACACACCCAGGACATCACGCAGGCAGCCCCATTGCCAGTCCCTCCAATAGCGCTGCACAAAGTCAGCCTGCACCATTCTACACACAGACAGGGGCCCCCCTCCCCGATCCCACAATGTCCTGCCATCTCCTCACTGGTGACCTTAGGGGTGCTTCCACGTCCCCTCAGTCCTCACAGTTTGTGATGCAGAGGCTTCCAGCACCGCCCCAGCACACAGCAGGTTCTCGGCAAAGAGGGCTCTTCTAAGCAGGTCAGACTCCCTCTTGTGGAAAACCCTCTCAGATCAGAACAGGCAGAGGGAGCTAATGCCAAATGACACACATCGACCAGGGACAAATGTTGGAGGAGGTGGCTACTTGTTGGGGGAGGTGAGGGTCAGTTTCCCCACCAGTTTGGGGCACCAGTAACATCCCGGCAAGGAACTGCAACACACAGTCCAGAAGCACCTCTAAGTTGCTGTTCCCATCTAGAGACAAGGAGCAAGAGACCCCTGGACAGAGGCCAGGCTCCACCCCATGCCCGCAGGGGACAGACCCAGAGACAGAACCGCTTGCCTTTCCTTAAAGGGAATGGGAGCTGACAAGCTCCAAGAGTCACATGCGCCTGCAATGCCTCAGCCAGATCAGCAGGCTCCAGCTGCCGAGGTCTAACTCAAATCCAGCCTGCTGCAGCACCCCTCCCCCATCCGCCACCCTGCAGAGGTAGCTCTTGGAGGCAGCACCCAAGGGTGCTCGGCATGCCCTGCCAGGTCTGTGGGCAACAGCAGTTAGACTGCTCACCAGAATCAAGAGTCATCTCCCCTTTCAAGTCCTCTCTCCTCTCTGCCTTCCCATGCAGCAGGAATGCCCAGAACACCCCAGGACCCCGAGATCACAGCCTCCTGCCCCACCCACCGCCTCTCCTGTACCATTGGAACCTGCAGGACCATGAGGGAGGGGTGCTGTTCAGTCCCTCCTAAGGAACTCACACAATGCCACTGTCCCCTGTCATGAAAAGCCACATCTCTGAGGCAGAACCAAGGGGTGGTAGAGAGGCAGGTCTCTGGAGCTCTTTGTCTTGGGAGAAAGGCTGACGATAGGTCGACACCACCGAATTAGCCAGGCTTGCACACACATGCAGGCCATCCTGTAGGGGCTGAAGGATATAGCAACTGAATCCCATTTCTGAGCCAAAAATGTAAGCGTCCTGTAGTGTGGCCGGCAGCCCCAGAGCACAGCTTGCCCCAGCTAGCCCCAGCCCTGTGTCAGGCCTGGACTGGACGGCCAGCTAACTTTACAGGCCAATGGAGTACACTTACACCTCCGATTGGCACTCTCCCAGACTGGCTCGCAACTGACAGCTGCCCCTCTCCAAGGAGGGAGGCCTGTATAAACACCCCCTGGACAGGCACGGCCTCTGTTTCCAAGGCTGGCCCAGGACAGGTAGGGTGGCTGTTTACATAATCTTCCAGAGCTGGGGCTGACACCAGGGTGATGGCAGGATTATGAAAAACGCATGCCTAGAGCCTCTGCATCCAAGAAAACCCCCACCCGCATTCTGCATGACTCGGTTTTAAGACCTCTCACACGTCCATTTTGTGAACAAATGGAGCTCTCAGAGCAGCAGAGGCGACTAACCACACTTCCAGGCCTTGCCCAGCCGGCCGCAGAGCCCTACCAGACACCACCTCTGGGTCACAGACCCCTGGGTCAGAAGAATTCTCTGCAGGTATCCCTGCTGGGGCACCCACAGCTTGGGGGACACAGGAAAGTACTAATTTATGGGCAGCTCAGGGCCTCCAAACTGCCCTGTGAGCGCACACATCAGGCCTTGAAGCCGCCACGCTGTTTTGCAAAGACACAACAGTCCAGACCACCTGGGTCATTAAAGTGGGTCATCAGGACTGGAGAAGCCGCAGCCTAAGAGACACAGCCTCCAAGATCCACTCTCCAGGGCCTCCCCTACGCCCAGGGCGCGCACACTTAGACGAAACGCAACCAGAGGCCTGCCCTCGCCACGAGCTGACTCACAAACCTGCGCGCGGACAAAGCCAGGCCCCACACGCCGTCCGCACACCTGGCACACATCCTGCCGGCCACCCACGCAGAGGGTGACACACACAGCGCCCCGCCGCCCCCAGGGGTTCTTAAGGCACAGCGCAGGAGCAAGGACGGGCCCAAGGACGCGATCGCGGACAGACCCTGCGGAAAGCCCTCTGCGGGCTGGCGCACCCTCACCTGCAGCTCACACCAGGCCACCTCCACCCAGGTCTCCGTGTCCAGCCCCTTGTAGACGGTCTTGAAGGAACCGCGGCCCAGCTCGATGTCGAACTTGAGGAAGCGGCCGTCCAGAGAGGTGGCCACTGCCTTGAGATCGTCCTCATCGTCCTCCTCCTCTTCGGGCTCGTCCCGGCGTGTGCGCCCGGGCTCAGGCTTTGCCTCGGTCGCCCCCTCATCTTCCTTCCTCACTGTCGCCGCCGCCTCCTCCCTGGGGCCGCCGTCGGGGGCAGGCGCAGTTTCGGCAGCAGCTGCGGTGGGGTCCGGGACGGGCTCCTGCGCGACCAAGAGCTCGGGGCCGGCGTCCGCCGGGGCTCCGGGGGCTCCAGGTGGCGCGGCCGGCGCTGCGGGCGCGGGGGCGGCGGGGCGTCCACGGGCGCGCTCCGCGATGAGGCGGCGCGTCTTGCAGAGCAGAAGTACCCGGCGCTGCAGGGGCTGCGGGGGTTGCGGGCCCGGCGCCTCGGCCGCCTCCAAGCCGGGCGGCTCCTCCTGGTCCGACTCTACCACGCTGCGCCGCAGGAAGCGCTGGGGCCCCGGCCGCGCCGCCTTAGCCCGCGGCTCCGCCATGCCCGCGGGCCCTGCGCCGCGCCCGGGCTCCATCAGCGCGCCGGGGGCGTCTCGGCGGCCGCCATCGCCGTCCATCTCTGTGGGCCAAGGACACACAGGCTCGCGTGAGCGCCGGCCCTGCCGCACCTGCCCAGGCCGCGGGATGAGACAGCGCCGCCCCGGGCCCGCGCCCTTCCCAGCCCCGGCCGCTGAGAGAGCCTGCGGAGCTGTCTCTGGGGGCCCTGGGAAACAGGGGCTGCAGACGGGACCAGAGGATCGGGTTGGGGAGGAGGGGTCAGTGCCCCGCTCAGCCCCCGGCGGCTGCGGAGAGGGACGGGCCTGTGCTGTTTCTGGAACCCGGGGAGGGAGGATCTGCTAGGGTGTCCCTGAGGGCCCCGGCGGGTCTGCAGAAGAAACCTGGAGGCCGGCAGAGGGATCTCGCGCCCTGCCCAGCCCCGGCCCGGGAGGGTCCTGCTGGGCTGTCCCGGAGGCAGCTGTAAAGGGGATAAGGAGGCCCGGGAGTGGGAGGAAGGCACCGGCCGGGCGGCGGCTCCACAAAGGACGCGGGCCCGGGGCGCGGGAGGGGCGCGCGGGGAGGGGGCTGCAGCGCCGCGGCGCGCACACAAAGGCGGCGGGCGGCGGTGGAGGGGCTCTGCACTCACAGGGCGAGCGGACGCCGTCCATGCCCGCGGCCGGGCGGCCGGGGCGGGCGAGGCAGGCACGATCACGCTTCGAGGCCGGGGTCCGAGTTCCGGGGGAGATCCGCGCTGTGGTGGGGGCCGCGGCGACGCTCCAGCTCCTGCGCGCTGCTTTCTCAGGTCGGGCCACTGCGGGGCCGCGCTCCCGCGTGCTCCGGCCGGCTTCGCGCGGCTCCGCTCCCGCACCGGCTCCGACCCGGCGCGCGGGGAAGGCGGGGCTCCGCTCGCCCCGCCCCGGGCCAGCGCAGGGGGCTGGGCCTGGCACGCCCACCTGGCTGCGGACTGGCTGGCGGGAGCGCGCGGCCACCTGCGGGCCGGCTACCTGGGCTCCCACCCGCGCCTCTGTGCTCGAGGCAGCTCTCCTGGCCTTTGAAGCTCTTTGGAACGCTCCTCAGGGCTGTCGACTGCAGAGGACCCCGTTTGTTCCTGAGAGGAGGCAGCAGGCTCAACGCCTCAGCACGCCGCAGCCCGGCTCGCCAGACCTCAAAGCCCTGAGCCAGGACAGAAGGCAGGCTGGGAAGAAAAGGACCAGGGGTACCGCCATCCTCGGGAGCCCGGCCTGGGGCTAAGCCTGGTGGGGGTCAGCGTGTCCTTTCCTGCCCTCACTTCACCACCGGGAACCATGAGGACCTCATCATCACCCAGGGACTCGCTGGTGATCATTTTGCCCATTTTACAGTACAGCAAACTGAGGCCCCAAAGGCAGAAGTTATATGCCCTAAATCCCAGAACTTCCACTACAGAGGCTGAGCTGGAATGCCTTGGATGGGATATGGAGAGGCTTTCAGAAGCCCCTTGACCCAAAGGGTTCTTCCTTCCCACCTCTTCCAGATGCCACCTCTCCTGAGAAGTCTTCTATGATCTCTCTCTCCTCCTTCCTCCTCTAGACTCCCATGGACAAGCTCTCTCTTGGGCGTCTCTGGGCCTACTGCCGCAGGTGGGCTGTGTCAGTAACTGTACTGCTAAGTTCTGAGACTTGCTCTAGGCAGCGCCCTGAGCTAACACTCACCCTCACCCTAGCCTCCATCACCCTAGGTGGGGGAACTGAGGCACAAGGGAGATACCAGGGTATTCTCATCTCAGTCCCCCCATCAGATACACACACACTTCCAGAGATGAAAAGGCACTCCTGGGCTGTTGGCCCTGGAGCCCCTGGCACAAGGTAAGTCATGTGACATAAAAGCCAACAGAGGCAATACTTTACCTTCACAATGCTGAGAAGAATATGCCAAGCCGACTGTTACCCAGAGAAGCAGGACTTCCTGGGGCCCCGCTGGGCACTGGCACTGGCTGAAACTAACTTGTGAGGAGCAACAGTGCACATCTCTTCCCAGCTCTGGGTTCAGCAATGCCAGCCTATAGCCTGAAATTAGCAATGCTGGGAGTATTTACACTATGGAAATTGGTAGACACCTCAAATCAGGACTTTTTGCCCCAGAGAGCCAGTAGTTAAACAGTGTGCTAGGCTTGGGACTACGCATTTGGCACTTGCCTATTATTTATTTAATCTAATCCTCACATCTACCTTGTGAGACAGCCGTTCAGTCCGGGGCTCAAGTCCGCTGGCATGAGCCCAGAGCTCACACGAGGAGGAGGCCAAACAGGAGACGTCAGCTTCGCAGGACTGAGACGCCCTGAGGGACAGGGGTCTAAGTTGCACCTCCTGGGGCAGGAGCCTTCCAGGTAGAGGTTGGAAGTGGAGAAGGATCTTTTGTCTTCTCTTGGAGGCTAAAGACACCCAGCCTTGCTCCTAACCAGCTGAGTGACCTTGGGCAAGTCCTGGCCCTCCCTGAGCCTCAGTATCCTGCTCTGCAGAGCAGGCTGATCATCCTGGCTTGCCCACCTTAAGAGGCTAACTATTCCCTGGGGATTCAGTCAATCTAGGAAGGGCACCAAGTCCACAGACCTGTTCATTATGGGTGTATTCAAGCCAATCCAAGGGAAAACCAGGATGGAACGGAGCTAAGCACACTCTGAGACCAGCACACACCTATCTGGCCTCCTCCTGCTCCCAACAGGCCACACTGGCAGTGTGTGGGCAAAATACCTGCTGGCATAGAAGGTTCATCAGCACCCATGGCTGCGCCCACCCACACTTGTAGATATGCGTGGGAAAAGATGGCTATACCCACAAATCAGCAGGGAGCAGCCCAGGCTGTGGGGAGTGGGGGACAGCCTGTCCCTGAGAGAATACTATGTACTCTCTGAGCCCTTAGGGGTGATTTCATGCAGCTCTGCTTATGAGGCCTCTCCATGGTGGAGAGCTCATTCTCTCTGCCAACCCATGACCATTAGAGTGCACAGCTGAGTCAGTAGTGGACAGGTCACAATTTCCTTTGCAAGGAATCTCAGGCTGGGCTCAGGAGCGAGCTCCTGGCATCCTGGCAGATGGAGCCTCAGGGATCCGTGGACAGACCTTGGAAATGAGGACTTTATGGCACTGGCTGTGTGCCGTTTGGCAGGTGACTGGATATCTCTGAGCTTCTATCTCCCTGCTGCTAAGACAGGGTGTGTAAGTACAGTGGTTTGCTTTGCTGGGTGTCCTGAGGCTGTATGACCCAGGGTCATGATATCAGCATTTGTCTTTTGGGGGTCTTTTTTCTTTTCAGATGGAGTTTCGCTTTGTTGCCCAGGCTGGAGTGCAGTGGTGGGATCTCAGCTTAGCTCACTGCAACCTCTGCCTCCTGGGTTCAAGCAATTCTTTTGCCTCAGCCTCCTGAGTAGCTGGGATTGCAGGCGCCCACCACCAGGCCCAGCTAACTTCGTATTTTTAGTAGAGACAACGTTTCACCATGTTGGCCAGGCTGGTCTTGGACTCCTGACCTCAAGTGATCTGCCCACCTTGGCCTCCCAAAGTGCTGGGATTTGTCTTCGATTTTTACAACAGATGAGTACATTGAGGCCTCAGCCAGCGACTTTGCAACTTTAAGTAACTTTCTGAAGGCCTCAGAGTGGAGAGGGTAACCTCTACCCACAGCTATCACCTCAGCTTCTGCAGTGCCAGGGAGCCCCCTTGGTGAGACAAGTATCTCTCAAGTCCAGGTTATGCTCCAGACTGATCCAGCCAGTGGGCACGTGTAGGCACACACCTGCTCCACACAGATGCAGTTTCAGGAGCTGGGCCCCAGCAAGCAACAGGACCATGGTGTCAGTTTGCTCATCTGTGAGATGGGCATAATGGTCATGCCCAACAGTCTTGGTACACAGGAGGCATTTAACAAATGCTCAGGGAGGAAGGGAGACAGGGCCAGCCCCACTCCCTCTGCTCACCTCAGGACCCATCGAGGGTCACTGAGTGAAAGGAAGAGCACAGTCTGGCCGTGCCCAGTGGAAGCTCCTCCACATGTGCTCCCTGGGGCAGACCTGCCTCTCAGTGGGGTCAGGCAATCTATCTAGTGCTCAGGTCCAGTGTAGCCAGGACACTTGCCCGAGTGCCCCCTGGGTCACACCATGCGGAGGGTACCCTGGTGGGGGCATTGGATGGGGAGGACAGTGCTGGAAGAGCAGAGCCCAGGGAACCCTGCAGCCGGGCAAAGTGGCTCATGCCTGTAATTCCAGCACTTTCGGAGGCCAAGATGGGCAGATCATTTTAGCTCATGAGTTTGAGACCAGCCTGGCCAAGATGGTGAAATCCCGTCTCTACTAAAAATACAAAAATTAGCCAGGTGTGGTGGAGCACACCTGTAATCCCAGTTACTCAGGAGGCTGAGGCAGAAGAATCACTTGAACACAGGAGGTGGAGGTTGCAGTGAGCTGAAATGGCGCCATTGCACTCCAGCCTGAGCAGCAGAGCAAGACTCTGTCTCAAACAAATAAAATAAAGAATCCGGTTCCTCTGTTTTTCAAGGTGCAGGGCCCAGCAGGGCATCAAGGGGTTCAAGGTTGACTGACAGGTCCACAGAGGGAGGGGCTCCATGCCCCGAGGAGGAAATAAGCAACACAGTCCTGCAGCCCCTGGTGAGCGGCCACCTGAGGCACCAGGGCCCACCCCCAGCCTGTCTGATGGTGCAGGACTGGGTGGCACCAGTCCCTCAGAGATAGGGGACAGAGCCCTGTGACAAGCTAAGGGGCCTAGCTGGCCAACGACTGACATACCGTGATCCTGAGTTGGCACCGGCCCATTTGTGGTGGAAAACCAGCAGCATCCTCCTGCGTGACGTATTCCCAGGGGCCACGACAAATCATCCTGCACGGCTGGCGAGACTTGGAAATGAGGCTGTGTTAGCAGGGACTTGAGGCTGACATTTTCAATGAAATATCCAAGGTTGGATTCGTTGGGGACCAGAATCGGCCAGGGTGACACTTGCTTTCAGCGTATGTCCAGAGCAGAGCATGTCACATGAAGGGCAAGCCAGGGAAGTGTCGGGATTTTGCTTCTTCAGGGTATGACCTTCCCAG